CTCTCAAGGAGACTGGTTCCATAACCAGAGCCATGCGTTGAGATGAGGCCGACTATTTCCAGCCGAAACCTCTCAGCCTCGCACACTAGCTCCGTCCGGTTCCTTCCCGACTAGAGAAGTGACGTTCCACGTCCCCAGAGCCAGCTTCTGCAGCCGAGGATCAGACTGCCAGGGTCCCCTCCTTCTGCCGCCGCCCATTACACACTGCACCCGACCCCTTTGGCCCCTCCTACAGGTGGTGAGCCTGTTGGAAGGGGGACCCACGTCTCCTCTTCGGGCTGAGCCCGGCCGGGCTCCGTGGGTGAAAGCCCAACCACCAGGCACTCGCCATCATGCCCCACCTCCAGGCCTGGCTCCAGAGGGGTGCCCCGGTGACCCGCATCCAGGTGAGGGAACACCAGATCCAAATCTTTTGAACATCATAAGGGGTCTTCTGGGAAAAAAACGTCCACCATCAAACAGAGGTGGAGGCCTTCGTGTCCAGTTGTCTTCTGCCTACAGTGCTGTTATTGCAAGTATGACTCAGCCCCCAGTGAGGAAAAGGTGTGAATCAGGACCCCAATGATGTCAAAACAAAGGGGGAGACAGGGACAAAAACAAGGGAACGTTGCCCGCTTGCATTCATTACATTCACATAACACGACACGGGTCAGGTGATGGGGCACATGACCCTCTTTGAACAATAGAGCCAATCAAGCCTATTGTTAGTCGATGGCCCTCTTTTGCATTTGACTAACCTGTTTGTCCAGGTGGAGGCAGGGTTTATAAGGCTGAGTTTCACCTGAAACTCAGACTTGAAGTCTCTTGGAGGAGAGATGAAACGTTTAAACAAAGAACCCATCCAGAGGACCTACTTATTTTTTCTAATTTGATTCTCTTGTAATCTACTTTTCTCTAATTGTTTTTTACAATAGTTAATCAGAACATATTCTAAGAAAATCATACTTTTTAACATGAACACATGAACATAAAAGTTTTTTCTTTACTTTTTGTCTTTTAAACCGTAATTCCTCTTTTATGGGACAGAGTTAATTTAACTTTGTTTCAACATTACAGCAATGTAAAAACACATTTTAAGATGATTAGAGCAAGAACATGGATTGATCTTATGTTATTTTGACACCAGTCCCATACTTTGTTTACCAGGTCCACAGACCCGACTGTTATATCAATGACCTCCTCCCTTCCAGACTGTTAATAGGGAGGAACATTGCCCTGATTAAAGACTAGCAGGTCTTCTGTCAGCAAGTATTCTATCAGAAACCTGCCTCTATGGTTAGTATCAGAGCTCCCCCACCACACATGATGGGAGTTGGCATCACAACCAATGAGTACCAGGAGGTCCTTTCCTTTAGCACAGGGGTGCCCAAACATTTTCCCAGAGGGGGCCAAAATGAAAATCTATCTATGGCTGCGGGCCAAATGCAGTTATATAATACATGAAATACAAATACTTTTTTTAAAAGTAAAGTCCTTTATTTTTAACCATTAAGCTGTGCATTGGCCCTCTTTTGTTTTAGTCTTTGCACTTGGAGAAAGTCTACCATACGCTCAAGTAGCAAAGGCTCATGGGACATATCATAAATTGATAATATGATTTTTTGTGGCCTTATAAAGTGTGCAAATCTACATGCGGGGTTAAATCTGATCTAATTATTTCTTGTTGTCATTTCATGTTTCTTGGTTAATCCTAATAAATCGAAGATATGTCAGCACCATGACTGAAAACTACCTTCACTACAGCCCTTTTATATAGTCATTTGACCAATGGAAATACTGTGTTTCTACCTATAGGATAACAGGTTACAACCTTGTAACTTTGGCAACAGTTGGTGGGCCAAATCAAATGGCCACTCTGCTTTAGCATATTCGACTATTGCCACAAACTCCTGGGATGGAGGTTGCTGCTGTGAATCAAATGGCAAATAAACAGAGCCTGCAATGATCGTACTGGATTCGCCGTTTGCCTGATTGTCCAACTGCACTGCAACAGCATCACCAGTTAGGTGGGGCAGTGCAGTGTGTCATACACCTCTTGTCAGGACTACTGCTGCTCTGGGTCTGCGGTTGCTCACATCATATAGAATTGTGCCCCCAGAGAATCACAGGCCCCATACCATAGACTTAACTATCCAAGGTTCCTGGATCAAGGCTACCTGTATGCATCCTACTAAGGCAGGTACACAACAATGTACTTACATTTTTACAATGATGCAAGTTGCTCTGTAAAAATTCCATCATCCCTAAAACTGCAGAGATTAGGACCCTTTTCTTCATCAGAGGACACCAGCATCATGTCGGTGTCCTGATCACCTGGAGACCCCAGTGCTTGTGAGGCACCAACCACTCCCTGCTAGGGTGCAGTCAAGGTGCTACACTCGCACCGCATACTCCTTGTAGACACAGCGACAGCAGTGGCAGAGGCCATCGCCATCACCGAGCCCCAGGGCACTAACACGATGTTCCTGCTGTGGTTAAAAATAAATAAAATAACACAGGGCAGAAAAATAGATTTAATTTATGCAGAATATAATGGAAACTATGTCAAACGAAAACGCAGCAAAAAAAAAGGTGGGTGGGTTCAGTGAAAGTCATTTTTAATATGTTTCATGAAGGGGAACAGAACTTGAAGCAACACTGAATATAAATGTGATTCACATTAATTTTAGGAATTAAAATAAATTTTAACGTATTTATTTTTAAACACAGCAGCAGAGCATTGTGATTGACAGCTGACACTGCCTCATGCCTTTCTCTCTCCTCCTCCTGCAAAGGAATATCAGATGGTTACAAATTGCCTGTTTGGTTCAAATGCTATTGGTGGGATGGGGGTTAGGGTTAGGACCAAGGTATGAATTGAGGGTCAGGTATGTACCTGTGAGGTTAGTTTTTAGGGTAAGGGGTCAGGGTTAGGCTGTAGAAATTAATGGAAGTCAATGGAATGTCCCTATATGTATAGGTGGACACAGCTGTGTGTGTGTGTGTGTGTGTGTGTGTGTGTGTGTGTGTGTGTGTGT